TTTCAGTTTAGGAAACAATCATCAACGATTCGACGCGAACAAAATCATAGGCCATTTTATTATGTTAAAATCTTAACTAATATCATTTATTTTTCTAATTTTTAATATTTTTTCATTTTTATTTGATTTCTTTTTTTTTGTATAAAATCGTTTAGAATTCATATTTTCGATATTATCATTATATCGTAGAAACGACACGTCCAGTTTCATTTTCACATTTCCATTCGTATTGGTTCTGATTTTGATTAATATTTGGACATTAAACGGAGAAAATATAATTGAGTAAGATTAATTAGTTGATATCGCACACAACAAGCTACAGTTTTATAGTAGAAACTTTATTTTTATATATATATATATATTATATAGATAGTTATATACAATGTGCATACGGTACACGCAAAGTTATCGACAAAATGGCCGCGCCTAGTTAAGGGTTAACGACTGCTCACTTTGAATGGAACGGATACGTAACTACGTTGAACACTATAACTATAGTAAACTGTCTACAGTTATTTCATTTATATATTATTACATTGTTTTTAATTTATTTAAAAATTTTTATCCTATTATTAAAAGAAGAAGAAGAAGAAGATTTATAACAAAACAAAAAATGAAGATAAGTTAAATTCACGACACGAAAATCACTTATGTAATTTTATTACACGTAATAATATCTAATAGATTTAATAAATAATTCGCGATTGTGTGCGTGCGTGCGTGCGTGCGCGCAAAGAAGTAATATAAATAAAATGTTATCATTTATAATATTTGATCGTTTATATATCGCGTAGATATGTTTTTTTTTTTTCATTCTTTCTTTTTTTCTTTTTTTTTTTTTGTATCATTCGAGAGAGTCACGGTTGTGAGTTCTTCCTGCAACTATGAAAGATTATCGATACGTTCTTATCGCTTTATCGATCCAATCAAAATTTTATTACCTTTTTTCTTTTTTTTTTTTTTTTTTCTTTTAAATAACTTTTTACAATCTAAAAAATATGAAGCGACGGATGTATTCTCGAAAGTTATTTACTCGTATCCCCCATCACAAACGTTTCGTAGAAATTATTTATAAATATTTTTAACTCACACCCTGTATATATATATAAACGTAATATACTTTCATTGAAACGTATATTAAAACGTGTATGCGTGTTTATTAATTGAATTGGTCGATATAAATCGATTACGTTGGTCGATATTATTTCGATTTTGATACGTAACCGTGGGCCCACCCACGTTTATATGCCCTTCTTCTTCTTTCTCTTTCTCTCTCTCTCTCTCTCTCTCTCTCTCGAGTTAAACGAACGCAAATGGTACGATTCCAACGAGTATATCGCCATTTCCGGTTGGTTCGTACGCGCAAATACTTAGAAAAAAAAAGAGAAAAAATAAAAAGAAAAAAGCAAACAGTACAACACAACGAACAACAACCTTTTATGCACACAACATATATACTGCATACAGGGTAGGTCAAAAGTTCAGTTAGTTTGAGAATTGATTACCCTTTTCAACAATTTCCTATAGATCCTTCCATTTTTTTTTCAAGTATTATACCAATGGGGAAGAAGAATCATTCATTTTTCTCTCTCTCTCTCGTTTCGATTATAAAATATTTGTTAGAAAATATAAATCTAATTTTTTAGAAGAGTTATATTAATTGTAAAAATCACCTAGTTAAATTTCGTATCACTCTGTGTCGCTGGAAAGTCAAAAAATTTTATATTATTTTCTCTATTATTTCATTTATTATTTGCTTAATACATTTAACATGACTTTCTCTAACATTCGTCTCGTTCTTTATCTAACACAAGAGAAAATCTATATTTCTAATAATCTCTTATCTATAAATTTCTATGGAACACTATAGTTACGATTAAAAATTATTCTCTCTTATCCGGACAATCATTATTTTTTTCTTAGAAAAGATATTCCGTTTATATTTATCATCGTTCAACGACCAACAAACAAACAAACAAACAAACCAAAAAATAATATATACTTTTCAGTAATCATCTTCGTCATTCTCATTCGTAACATCTCTCCCATAGATATTTATTATCTTTTTATTTAACCAATTCAAAGTATTTCGAAAGTCAAAATGTGTATTTCTACTCGAATTTGTTACAAAGAACAACAACAACAACAAAAACAACAAACAAAAAGGTTTATGCCAAAAAATGCAACGATGTGCAGCTGGACACTTTCGGTTGTAACTATTTTTCTTTTTTTTTTTGTTTTTCATTTCAAAAGTTTTCGTTTATGCGTGATGGTGGTAAAGGGGTGGTGGTGGTGGTGGTGGTAGTTGGGGGAGGGGAATAGGAGGAAGGTGAAACCCAACTAAAAACAGGGAACAAGATCTCGCACGGCTGCTCGACGAGTGTGTGGAATAGAAGCGGGTCGCAAAGGGAAGTCATGGGGCGAAAGGGGGGGCCAGAGGGAGGGGGGGGGTTAAGAGGTAGATGAGTTTAGTGGTGGAAGAGGTGGTAACGGGGAAAGGGGTTGGGGATTATCGCAAGGCAAACCTGAGATAAGAAAGGCAAACAGAAACTCGCTCATCGTACTCGTTCCCCCACCACCACCGCAACCGTCACCCGCCATCACACCGGACTTCCTTCTCTGATTATTATAGTTACCAATATTTAAGTCGACACCCTGATTACTAACACGTTTTTTTTTACATCGTAATTTTAGGAGAAATTAAATGGGGACAAGCAAACGATTAATAATCCATGGGACATTCGTTTTGATTTTCATGGGCTCGTCGTATTCTTTTTTTTACAATGAGACTCGTCCCCTTTTTTTTATAATTTTCCTCTTTGATTTGTTCTATTTGTTTTTCTTATTTTTCTTTTACAGATATCTATGTTGCGCCGACAAAATTGCGAGCTGCAAAAAATTGTCGTCGAGTTGGACACCAAAACGAAAGAATCGGTAAGTCCCCCCATTTGGGGATTATTTTATTCTTTTTCAGATGATAATAGAATTGTTCTGATCGTGGGTTTTTCTCTTTTACATTTTAATATAAACGAATACGCGATATTAATGTTATTTAATAATATAATTAATTGTAATTAAATGATTATATATATATATGTTATGTATACTAGAAGAGAGTCCAGAGAGTAGACGTGTATTTTCTTACTCAGCATATAAGAAGAGAAGTCTCGAAATCAAGCGTGGCAGCTGATGAGGCTGATAATATAAAACTGCCGAACGCGACACACTCATTCTCCCCTTTCTCACTTCGTATTACGCCAACGACTGCAACAGTCATAATTCTCTTTATCGTTCTTATCGATAGTTTAAAACCGTTTTTCACGGACTTATTTTTTCTTTTTTATTTTTTTTTTCGAGTCTCTCGTACATTACAAACCGCATTCCTCGATGAGTTTCGTAATAAAATTCAACCGGTAAAACAACAGTCCCAATCAATTATTGATTTTAATCTTATTAATATCTTACATTTTTCGTAATTTGTGTTTTTTCGCGGTTTACATGAAAGTAGAATAATAAAGAGAAAGAGAAATTTGAAAAAAGAAAAATGGAACGTTCGATAATCGATTAGAGAGAGAGAGGATGTTCTCTTTGCTGCAGTAAGATTCTGACCAAGGAATTATCACCTCTCGGAATGTAAATATATATTTGTAAGAGTTTACTTTTTTTGCGGTTCAGTTCGACCTAGAAACCGCTTAGCCTCAACTCACGCGTCTTATACACATACACACGCGCACGTAGACACACATACACACACATTATATAAATATATTTCCATCGTCGTTCAAGGAACATTTTTAATGCTTAGAAAACGATAATTCTTATTGTTAAGTCTCTGGTAGATACCACTAACTACTCGAGGTTTTCCTTCAAATTGTTGTCAAGTGGTCATCACGCTGATGTAATTAAAGAAAATAAGTTTTTTGTTGTTGATAAGCTCTTGATAATTATATTTCAACATAGTTGTTTTATCTATTTTTCTTCTTTTTTGTCTTTTTAAATATTATTTCTCAACTCGTTATTTTTTTCCCTGAAAAGGGACGAAGAATATTTTTCGTGTGTGTGTGTGTGTGTGTGTGTGTATGTGTGTGTACGTGTGTGTACCAAAGAAGTTAAATTCTTGAATCAGTGTCTCCGCGATGTGGTTTCTACCAAGCCTATTTTCTTCTTTTTTTTCTTTTTTTTTTTTTTATTTTTGTTCTTTTTAGTCACGTATACGTTTTGAAAAAGAGAGAGAAAAAGAAAGCAAATCTCGCTAGAAATGCGAGATAAGAAGATAAGCGTCGCCTTATACCCTATTTCATATCTTGGACCAACAAAGGATTGGCCCTGTTCTTCGTGTCTACTAAATACATATGTTCTTCCCTCGCGTAACGAATCCTCTACCAAAAAAAGAAAAAAAGTCAAGATTCCTCTTTTTCTCTTCCCCTTTTCACAATTCCCTTTTTTTTTTTTTTTTCTAGCTTCCTTTCGAACGTTAATCCAACGTTTACACCAATTTTCTACGCTTTTCTATTCATATTTATGCCTATAAATATGAATTTTAATCTTTATTTTAATATTAATATTAATTTTTCATTTGACATATATAATACCATCCTCTTGAATAATTGAAATCATTTTTTGATTGCAATAATTTCGTAAAAAACGATGCGAACGTAGCCGTCTTACGCGTTACCAAGATGGCGGCCACCACGTCCGCCATATTGAATTCTTTTAATCCGCTCATTGGTTGCGACAAAATGACCGTAGAAACGTAATAATTCGCATACAGGAAGACAATTTTACATAAAATAATGAAATACAATAAAAAATAATGAATATTTTTGTTACTTATTTGTTATCTTTTATTACAAAATTTTCGTAATTTTTTTTTTACGTAGAGTTACTAGTCCCCGTTTGTCGATGAATGTACGAACGAGTTCGTTTAGCGCCTTGGAAATCGTACTAACTTGAAGCAACCTTTACGATCTTTCCTTCGCAAGTACTATGTCGATTTTTTTTTTCTTTTTTTTTTTTTCTTTTTTTCTTTTTTTTTTTCTTTTTCTTCTGAAGCCGTTTGAGTAACGAGACGCTAAAAATGGTTGGTTGCACCGACCCTACTCGGTGTTTTCGATCTTCGTCAAAGGAGGAACGCGAAGAGAAAAAAAGAGAGAGAGAGAGAGAGAAAAATAAACAAATTCTTGTGTTAGAGATAGAAAGAGAGAGAGACGACGCGAGAAGGAATAAGGAAACGAAACGAAACGAAACGAAACGAAACGAAACGGAACGAGAATATAAGGAAAGAAAAGAGAGAGAGAGAGAGAGAGAGAGAGAGAGAAAATTCCACGCGAGGTGACTCACATGTCGTCGTCGTCGTCGTCGTTTCAAACTCCACAGGTTTAGTTAACCGCAGTCCTTGAAGTCGATCGAACTTTTTAATGCACCAGAAAAAAAAAAAAAAAGAATCGTTTCGAGCACGATATCGCTTATCGCTTTTAACCGTTGCAAACTTTTTTCCTTTGCCTACCTTCTTTACTTTTTTGGTTTGGTTCTTTCTTTCTTTTAGAAATTCATTTGCACCGTTGGCGAAAAAAATTATTTCTATTTCTATTACTTTGCAGAAAAAAAATATGATAAATCGTTCTATTGAATTTTTATTCGTTCCAAAATTCGCCGACAATAATTATTCATTTTTATCGAAAATAATTATTTAAAAAAATAAAACAAAATTAAAGAATACTTTACATATATGAACTTTGTAAATATATATAAATATATATATATCAACGTACTTTAAATAAATTCAATTATAAATAATATATAAAATACATTTGCAGTCCTCAACCCTCTCACCTCTCGCGTATATAAAAATATTTTATTATTACATACACAACACACATACGTATACACGTATACACGTGTACATATGTGTATAATTACACCCACGTTAAAAATTATACGAGTAAAACGAGTAACTCCAATTTGAAGAGGACCCCACCCTCTCTCTCTCTCTCTCTCTTTCTCTTTCTCCTATTCTCGCAAAATGTAATCGATCAGAAGCTTAACAACAGCTGCCCAAAGAAAAAGGGAAGGATGAGGATGAGGTGGTGGATGATGAAGAAGAGGAGAAAGAGGAGTGTAGGCTTTAGTAGAATTTTTTTTTTTTCTGATAAAACATACGATAACTAACGATAGGCCAAAAGTCAAAGACAGAGAGAGAGAGAGAGAGAGAGGAAGAAGAGCGAGATAGAATAATGATTAGGGTTAAAAGGGGGGTTGATAGTGACTATGACTACCCTTAGGTTATAACTATCGTCTCTATAAATGCATGTGCGTTAAACGTTTTCTACTTATGACGTTACTGTACTTTGACTCGATTAAGTGTAGAGTGACAAACAGAGAAAAAAAAAGAACAAGAAAGAGAAAGAGATAGAACAAATAAAATATTGAAATTTAAACCACAAACTCACATATTGAAGGGGCTACTACTCTTAAAAAAAAAAAAGAAATGAAGAGGAAAAGAAGGTCAGTCAGTGAACAAAAAAATGTAATCTTTTTTTTTTTTTTAACATTCTTATATACCTATTATTATACTATTTTTTTATTTTTTTTTTTAAACATTCTTATATATCTATTATTATACTATTTTTTTATTTTTTTTTTTAAACATTCTTATATATCTATTATTATACTATTTTTTTTATATTTTTCAATTTGATTTTATGTATATGGTACGAAGACGAAATGTAAATGGTGTTGATGCGATAGGTGTGTATATATGTAATTTTGTCTTCTCCTACTTGTTCCTTCATTTTCTTTTTAATTTACTCTCTCACTCTCTCACACACACACACACACACTCTTTTTAGTCTTTTGTTTATCCTCGACGTGGTGTTTAACTTCACGCTCGATAGCCACTCAAAGTTTTATCGACTACGACCATAATAATAAACAAGAGAGAGAGAGAGAGAGAGAGAGAGAGAATGAGATAGATCATTGAAATCCGTTTGAAATGGCATTGAGACGAATATTATACCAAGAGAAATTATACAACGGTCTAATATAGAAACACAACGTTCGATAAATTCTGAGTGTGTTATCCTTCGTTTAAAATTGTGTCAAGACTCGTCGTTGTTACTCCATCTAATAAACAAGTGAAAAACATAAAATGATATAAAGATGGATGGATGGATGGATGGATGGATGGATGGATAGACAGATAAGCGAATGCAGTGTGAGAGTGAGAGAGTGAGAGAGAGAAAGAAAAAACATATTGTGTTTACTCGTCATTTATATTTACCATCTTCGAATGATATTCAATGATTACTTGGAAGAATTCGATTTGAATTATATGAAGAATAACGTATATAATTAATATTTATGTGTTTCTATATGATTATATGATAGAGAAAAAAAGAAAAATTATCTACTCTAAAAGAATAAGTATGAAATGATTTTCGAATATTTATTTTAATAAAAAATAAAAAAAAAAGAAACAAAATACTATACTCAGCAGTACTCATGTCTAACTTTTCTTACATTTGATAAAACGTAAGGGAGCTTATGTCAGATTTAGATATACATGTGTATTGTATGTGTATGTTGAATTTTAAAAATGCAACGTAGCCGTAAATATGCGGAATCGTTTTTGTTAAAAGCGATATCTTTCTTATATTTTTTTTTATCTTTTGAATAACATTTGCTTTTGCATAATTATTCGCGAATGACTTATATATATATATATATATATATAAAATTACATTCATACATACAGTAGATTGCAGGCTAGAAATATTGAAATAATTTTTGAAAAAGTAATTATTTTCCATCGTAAAATATTACGTAACGTTTTAAACAAACGTAAATCAATTGAAACAAAAAATGATTAGCCTAGGAAAAAAAAAAGTTCCCTTTTAAAATATAATCCATATAATTTCCGGTTTATACAAAAATAA